ATAGAGTCTATAAATTGCTTTTGGGAGAATGGACATTTTGATGATATTGATTCTTCCAATCCATGAGCATGGAAGATTTTTCCATTTTTTGGTATCCTCTTCTATTTCTTTAAGATTTTGTAATTCTCATCGTAGAGATCTTTGATGTCCTTGGTTAAGTTTATTCCAAGGTATTTCATTGTTTTTCTGGCTATTGTGAATTGGGTTGATCTTAGAAGTTCTTTCTCAGCCATGGCATTGCCTGTGTATATCCTGCTACTTTGCCAAACTCTTCTATGAGTTCCAATAGTCTCCTAGTAGAGTTCACTGGATACCCTAAATAAAGAATCATATCATCTGCAAAGAAGGATAGTTTGACTTCTTCTTTCCCAATTTGTATCCCTTTAATTTCTTTTTCTTGCCTGATTGCTCTGGCTAAAACTTCCAGTACTATATTGAATAGCAGTGGTGAGAGTGGCATCCCTGTCTGGGACCAGATCTCAGTGGAAATGCTTCCAACTTTTCCTCATTCAATAGGATGCTGGCCGTGGGTTTTTCATAAATTGCTTTGACTGTGTTGAGGAATGTTCCTTCTATACCCAATTTGCTTAGAGTTTTATCATGAAAGGGTGTTGTATTTTATCAAATGCTTTCTCTGCGTCTATTGAGATAATCATATGGTTTTTCTTCCGCAGTCTGTTACTGTGGTGTATCACATTGATTGATTTGCAAACGTTGAACCATCTCTGCATACCTTGGATAAATCATGGGGGGCCTTTTTAAAAAAGAATTATTGTTTATTTATTTGAAAGGCAGAGTTACAGAAAGATGAAAGATAGTGAGAAAAAGATCTTCCATCAGCTGGTTCATTCTCCAAATGGTTGTAATGGCTAGGGCTTGGCCAGGCCAAAGCCAGGAGCCTGAAATTTCTTCCAGGTCTCCCACATAGGTTCAAGGGCCCAAACACTTGGACCACCTTCCACTGCCTTCTCAGGAGTATTAGCAGTGAGCTGTATTGGAAGTAGAGCAACCAGGCCTCGAACCAACATCCATATGGATTCCAGCATCTCAGGCAGAGGCTAACATGCTATGCTATAATGCCAGCCCCTTTGGGGGTCTTTTATAAAACAATATTCAAAAGCAGCATTTCCATTCTGCCTGAGATAACTGATGTTAATTACCAAGGAGAAATTGGGCTGCTGTACCTACAAGAACAGGGAGGACCATGTCTGAAATCCTGGGGAATTTTTGAGATACTACTTAGTATTCCATGTCCATTAAAAAAATTGGTGAAAACTATAAAAATAACCATGAAATCCAATAAAGATACACTTACTAGGAATAACATTTTCATTCTACCACTACATAAAGATCCTCATCCAGCTGATATTGGACACTGGGAAGGTGTACATGGAGTGGGTACTGAAAAAAGTAATTACAAATGTCACACATGGGCTCCTGATCAACGGCAGGCACAGGAAGAACTTGGGATCAGGGACTAATGGGAGATATTTAGAGAGTGATAGGGATGCTGGTGGTGGTAGGTGTTGTTCAAGTTTTCCTGGGGAGCTAAGGAGCTGAAAGTAGATAAATGGAGTGGGAATCTGGATTTGTCATTTAATCACATCCTGAAGGAGAACTGAATATTACTGGGAAGGTTCATCTTTTCTCTTCTTCCTGTGCTTCTTACATATCTGCATATGGTTGGACCATAGATGGCTGATTCTTGTTAAAGGCGGTTTTTCTCTCATGTAGCACCACTGACAGGGAGTTGGGTTGTAGTGAGAAATACTGACACCCAGGGATCAGTGCCCTTTGTGGTGGTACTCAACCCAAGGGCCACAGATGGCTTATTGTTCACAGGACAAAACCTAAATTCTTGCATGGCTAAGATATCTAGAACATTCATAAGCTGGCCCTCCCTGCTTTTATGGCTTCTCCAACCATTCTTCACCTCCCAAAATACTTGCTCCAGCCACACAGGCTACTCTCTATTCTCTAACAGGAAATGGTTAAGCATCTACCCAGGAACTTCCCTTCACCCTTACCTTTTCCCAAAGTAGTCAGGTGACTATAATCAGTCACCACTCTGAAAGCCTTTGTCCTGAATAAGTCCTGCAATTACTTCGTCTTTAATGAGTTACTCTAGGTTCTGGACTCCTCTGGGATGCAGAGCCCCTTAGGCTCAGGCATGGGTAGAACGAGACATGTAAGAAGGGGTGATGCAGACGTAGGTAATGACTACAGAGGCTGTAATGAATGAAGGGCAGCAGGATCTTGGGTCAAGACCCTGGAGTCACCCTCAGACACCCTGAGTAAGTTGGGCAGGAGGGTGAATAAGCTGGTGCCCTAGTGTCCTTCCAACTTGAGGGTCTTGGTTTCCCAGCGTGTAATGATGCTTTGTGGGACAGTTCTTCAGTATATCTTTCCTCTTCTCCATCTCTCTGCCTCTCGAGACTGTACTGCCCTGTAGAAATCTTTTTTATTAATGTTGCAGTTATAATTTTTGTTGGTGACAGTGTTCATTAATAATTGTTGTGCAATGCCTTCTCTGTCATATCATTTCAATAGGATGACTGCTCTGTGAGCACCCTTTAATGCAGCTGTTTTAAGCCCTTTTAGAATCATCTATGTACATTTAAAAATTTTGCACAGGCCTCCCTCAATTTGTAATTCAATATAAATGGAAGGCCTAGTAAAGTAATATTTAATCACTTATAGAGTTTATTTCTCTATTTGGAAGGCAGAGACAGAGAATGCTCCCAGGTGCTGATTCACTCCCTAAATGCTCACAATGACCAAGCCCAAAGCCAGAAGCTGGGACACAAGCCAGGTCTCCCATGTGGGTTACAGGAACCCAATTACTTGAATTATCGTCGCTACTTCCCAGCATCTGCACTGGAAGGAAACTGGAGTCAGGATCTGGACCTAGGAATCAAACCCAGATACTCCTATCAGGGATGTGGGCATCTTAACTCAGGACTTTATGGGAGTGATGATTCTAGCTTGATAGAGTTGTTCTGTCTTTAAGCTGGGGAATGGCAGGCAGCTAACAAATGTTAATGACACCTGGATCATATTCAGGTGCCTTACCCATTGTGGGCTCTGCTGAACTCAAGAGGATCCTCACCTGAATGGAGTTCACTGTATAAGGTGAGGTGACTGGCTGCAAACTAATGATCTAGGGTATTGAGTGTTACAGTGTGAGTACAGGCTGGGGTGAAAGTATAGCATCAGGTCTGGAAACACAAGGAAGGTTTAGCTGAGCAAGTGATATGTAATATATACGAATAAGTACAGGTAAGCCAGGTTAAACGGGAGCAGAGGGGAAAGGGTGCTATGTGGAAGGAAAAGCGAGTTCAAAGGTTTGGAAGTAAGAAATTATGTTTAAGTCCATCATTGTTCTAGAGTGGGACGCAAGAGTCATTGTGGGGGCCAGCGCTGTAGTGCAGCAGGTTAAAGCCCCAGCCTGTGCTATCAGCAGCCCATATGGGCGTCCATTCGAGTCCTGGTTGCCCCACTTCCTATCCAGCTCTCTGTTACAGCCTGGGAAAGTAGCAGAAGATGGCCCAAATGCTTGGGCCCCTGCACTTACATGGGAGACGCAGAAGAAACTCCTGGCTCCTGGCTTCAGATCAGCTCAGCTATGGCCGTTGAGGTCATCTGGGGAGTGAAGCAGTGGATGGAAGACCTTTCTCCCTCTCTCTGGCTCTACCTCTCTCTTAATTGTCTTTAAAATAAAATAAATCTTAAAAAAAATAAAAAGAATCATTGTGGAGCCAGATGAGCGTATGGAGGTAGGCACAAGTATCACAATGAAACATAATTTGTATCCTTCAAAGGATCTTTGACTTTAAGAGAAGTGAGCCCTCACTGAAATGTTAGTAAGAAAAGAAATGATCAGATTTTCACCTTAGAGTTCCCCCCACTGTATGAATGAAACATTCAAGGAGAAGGGCATTGATCAGGAAGGCAAAGATATTAATTCAGAGGCTGTTTCAACAGTCCAGGGGAGAGAACATGCCATCCTGATCTGGCAGTGTGGTGTTGGTGTAAGAAGTAGAATGAGATGAGAGAGTGGAGGAGTAAGAGGGTGGAAAAGTGAAAGGTGAGATCATGAGTTTCCTTTGAGATCTGTTGTGCTTAACATGCCTGTGACACATCCACAGAAGATAATTATTGAGCAACAGGATTCAGAATTACCTGGATGAGAAAGACATTTAAGTCTGATAGTTAAATGATAACCTAAGACATTGAGTAGATGACTTTTTCATGAGGTATACAATTTCTTGGGATATATAATTCACATAGAATTATAAAAGAATGATGTTTACAAAAAGCCCTGAGGAAAACCAACATATAAGATACTGAAAGGGGTGCTGGCATTGTGGTGTAGCAGGTAAAGCCACTGCCTATAATACTGGTATCTTGCATGGGCACCATATCCAGGTGCTCTACTTCTAATCAAGCTCCCTGTTAGTGGCCTGGGGAAAGCAGTAGAAGATGGTCCAATGTTTGGGCCCCTGTCACCCATGTGGGAGACCCAGAGAAAGCTCTTGGCCCTAACTTTGGTCTGGCTCAGCCCTGACTATTGCGGCCATCTAAGGAATGAACCAGTAATTGGAAAGTCTCTGTCTTCTACCACCCTCTGTAACTCAGACTATCAAATAAATATCTTTTTTAAAAACAAGTACTGACAGAGCAGGAGTGAATTACACTTATCAAGGATGCCCAACCAGGTGGGTAAAAGGAAAACTAACATATTTTATGTCTCAGAAGCAAATAGAAAAGTATGTTTTAGAAATGATGGAATATAGTTAACATGTTAAAGAGATGTGAAGAAAATAGGTTGTTTATAATTATATAGATTCTGTGCTCGCTTCGGCAGCATGTATAATTACATAGATTCTAATTACAGAAATTTGAAATTTAGAAATTACTTTCATTGTGACGAGACTGAAAGGAAACATCTTTTCAGATAATGTATCATAGTAATGTAATCAATGTAAGTTCAAGTTTTGTTGGACATGGTTATTTCCTCTTAAAGGTACTAGCAACAAACATGATAGGAAACCAAACCACTGTGTCAGAGTTCCTCCTCCTGGGCCTGCCCATCCAGCCACAGCACAAAAACCTCTTCTACGTCCTGTTCCTGGCCATGTACCTGACCACAGTCATAGGGAACCTCCTCATCATCATCCTCATTCGACTGGACTCCCATCTCCACACGCCCATGTATTTGTTTCTCAGCAACTTGTCCTTCTCTGACCTCTGCTTCTCCTCTGTCACAATGCCCAAATTGCTGCAGATCATGCAGAGCCAAGTCCCATCCATCCCCTATGCAGGATGCCTGGCCCAAATATACTTCTTCCTGTTTTTTGGAGACCTGGAGAACTTTCTCCTTGTGGCCATGGCCTACGACCGCTATGTGGCCATCTGTTTCCCCCTGCACTACACCAGCATCATGAGCCCCAAGCTCTGCTTCTGCCTGGTGGCACTGTCCTGGGTGCTGACCACATTCCATGCCCTACTGCACACCCTGCTCATGGCCAGGCTGTCTTTCTGTGCAGATAATGTGATCCCCCACTTTTTCTGTGATATGTCTGCTCTTCTGAAGTTGGCCTGCTCTGATACCCATGTCAATGAATTGGTGATATTTGTCATGGGAAGCACATTTCTTGTCATCCCCTTCCTACTCATCACAATGTCCTATGTAAGGATTGTGTCTTCCATTATCAAGGTTCCTTCTGCACGGGGCATCCATAAGGCCTTCTTCACCTGTGGCTCCCACCTGTCTGTGGTGTCATTGTTCTATGGGACAGTTATTGGTCTCTACCTAATCCCGTCAGCCAATAATTCTACTGTGAAAGAGACTGTCATGGCTATGATGTACACTGTGGTGACTCCCATGCTGAACCCCTTCATCTACAGCCTGAGGAACCAAGACATAAAGGGAGCCCTGGGAAGAATTGACTGTGGAAAGAAGACTCTCTTCTCTCTAGGATGGTAACAAGTATTTTTACACAATTTTATCCTTTACGTATACTTAATTGATGCTGAAATATTATTCCAAGTTTTTACTGTACCAAGGAACCTCTGTTAAAATGGTGTACTACAATATGCCTGTCCTGTAGTTCAAAAGAGAGTCTGACCTTGGAGACATGGCCATACTTCCTCTGACCTCCCCAGATGACCTTGGAGAGGCATAGTTTAAGAACCACTACTTTAAATAACTCCATGAATACATATATAAACAATAAAATGATTACTAGTCTATGTTTAGATTGAGGGTTTTTTTAACTTCCACGTAAGAGAGGTTGGGTTAGGGGTTTTTCAAATCAAGAGTAAGAAGGCACAAGCTACTAGTGCTACACAGCATAGTGGGGGTGCCTACATAGTTCACAATAACATTTTCATGCCTTTTTAGTAAACAGAAGACAGGAGCTCCAAGGCTCTAATCATAAAGTAAAGACAGGAAAAATTATTTGTCCTGATTTTACTACTATGCGTTGTATACATGCATTTAAATATCACACTGTACATATCACACCATAAATATGTCTAACTGTCGTTAACCAAAATTTTAAAGAATGGTTAAGTTTCAAATGCTTGAAAAGACATGCTTTATTATATTATCTGGAATTATGTTTTGAATATTGCATTTTAAATAGTCCTCTGTAATCTTATAGTGCTTGTAATCAATACTAAATAATATCCAAACATCTGAACCTCCAGCCTTCCTTCAATGTCTCCTATATATATCCTTCTTCAAAAGTGCTCACATCATTTTATCTCTTAACTTTCCCCCCATTTTGATTTATTTTCATGTCTACATAGTCTTTTTTGATCCAGCCTGACCTTTAGTTGATCTAACCCTTTGACACAGTGATGTATTTTGTGTCTACTTGTCAATTAACTAATACTCAGGGGCCTTGGAATTTTTGCTTCCCCAGGAATACAGAAAGACACTACAAGCTGGCAAAATTTTCACTTTTAAGGATGCCTCTTACTTTGGACTTTACAAAAGAAATTCATGTCTGTGTTTTTATTCTACTCTCATGACAACTAGAGCTTTTCAACAGTACTGAAAAACCCACCCAGAACAATTAGGAAATGAAAGAATTGAAAGATATCTGAATTAGAAAAGAAAAGGTGCAATGTCTGTGTTTGCTTAACTGATTTTGTACACAGAAATCCTAAAGACTCCATCAAAAAGCTGTTAAAGCTAATAAATTAATTTGATATAGTAGGATACATTAACATACAGAAACCAGTCACATTTGTATACTGTAACAATGAACTATCTGAAAACAAAATGTTTAAAAATTTCACTTACATTAGCTACAAAAGATATTCAGAAATTAATTTAACCAAAGAAGCAAATATCTTTACATCAAAGATTTAAAACGTTAATGAAATATGTTGAAGATAAAAATAAATGGAAAGATATTCCATATTTAGGAATTGGAGTTAATTGTTTAATGTCTATACTACACAGATCAACCTACAGATACAATATAATCTCTAGCAAAATTCAATGTCATTTTCCATAAGAAAAAAAATCCTGAAATCAATATGAAACTACTGAAGAAAAGACCCTTAATAGATAAGACAACCTTGTGCAAGAAGAACAAAGCTGAAAACATCATACTATCTGATTTCAAAACATGTTACAATGATATAGTAATGAATCAGCAAGACATTGTCATAAAACACATACACATTGACCAATGGCAAAACAAAGAAGCCAGAAATGAACCCACACATTATAGTCAATGGATTTTTAGTAAAGGTGCCAAAACTACACAATGGGAAAAGGACAATATCTTCAATAAATGGTGTTAGAACACTGGAGATTCACATGTAAATAAAACAGAATTGGACTCTTATACAAAAATTAAAGACTTAAACAGAGTGAACAATCTACAGAACAAGAGGAAATATTTACAAACCATGTCTGAAAAAGGGCAATATCCAGAATATATATAATACACACACACACATATATATAACTCAAAAAACCCAACAGCCAGAAAGAATATGATAATCCAACTAAATCTGGATACTAGATCTAAACAAGCATTTGTCAAAGGAACAAATACAAATAGCCAACAAGTACATGAAAAAATGCTATCACTAATCATCAAGGAAACACACGTTAAAACTACAATAAGATATGGCCTCACTCCAGTTAGACTGGCTATTATCAAAAAAAAAATAATAATAATAAGTGTTTATGAGAATGTAGAAAAAAATGGAACTCTTACACACTGTAGGTAGGAATGTGAATTAACATAACCAGTACAGAAAAAAATAGATAAATAAAAGTGGCCTTATGTATAGTAACCTTACCACTGAAAATATATCCAAGTGAAACACTCCTATGCCTTTTGCCGCACTATTCATAATAGCCAAGAAATTGACACAACCTAAATGTCTGTTAATTCATGAATGGATAAAGAAATGTGGTACATACAAACAATAGAATACTATTCATATATAACTATATATCTATATTAATAGAATACTATTCATATAAAGGATGAAATCCTGTCACTTGCTACCCTACAAATGAAACTAGAGGACATCATGCTAAGTAAAATAATCTAGGCATAAAAGGCAAACAAGAGGTAAAAGTTCATGAAAAATGGAGTTAAAATATAATGCTAATTTTCCATGAACCTTTTGAAGTCTCCTTGTATACTGACCTGCATAACTTCATTTACATGGAGAATCCAAAAATATCAAGTTTATAGAGATGTAAAGTAGAGTAGTGGTTATCAGAGCTAGGGAAGGAATAGAAGCTGTTGGAGAAAGGGTACAAAGTTTTATTAGGTTGGAGGAATAAGCATTTGAAGCCTATTGTACAACAAGGCTAGTAACAATGTTAATAATAACCCAATAGAGGTCAGTGCTGTGGTTCAGCAGGTTAAAGTAAGGGCCTGCCATGCCTCATCCTATATGGGTGCTGGTTTTGAGTCCCAGCTGCTCCATTTCTGATCTGCTCCCTGCTAATGTGCCTGGGAAAGCAGCAGAGGATACCCAAGTGCCTGGGCTCCTGCACCATGTGGGAGACTCAGAAGAAATTATTGGTTCCTGGCTTCACCCTGGCCCAACCCTAGACACTGTGGCCATTTGAGAGTGAACTAGCAGATGAAGACCTCTCTCTCTCTCTCTCTGTCTAGCCTTCTTTATAATATACCTCTGCCTTTCAAATGAATAAAATAAATCTTTTTTAAAAACACTGATAACGTTAGTTAAGAATAAAGTTATGCAAACTTCAGAAGTACTTAGAGAATGTTTCCATGACAAAAAAGGTAAGTTAGAGCCAGTATTGTAGTGCAGTGGGTTAAGCTGCACTTGTGATACCAGCATCCCATGTGAGTACCAGTTCAAGTCCCAGGTACTCCGCTTCTTACATCGCTCCCTGCATAAGCACCTGGGAAAGCAGTGGAAGATGGGTCCCTTCCACCCGTGTGGGAAACCCAACTGGAGTTCCAGGCCTGGCCCAACCCAACCATTGCAGCCATTTCAGGCATGAACCAGCAGATGGAAGATCTCTCTCCCTCTCTCTCTATAACTTTGCCTTTCAAATACATAAAATAGATCTTTTTAAAACCAGGTAGAATTTTTGCTTTAATAATTTCATAATGTATATATATATATATAAACAGCACATTGTACCTATAAACAATGACTATTTCTCATTTAATAATAAAGCAAAATAAATTTTAAATATTAAAGATCTAGGCAAGATCTATATGATGAAAACACTGGTAAAAGTAATGAAATATTACTCTTGTATAATAAACATACCATGTTCAATGACTGAAAGACTTACTGTTAAGATCTTGATTTTCTAAACTGATCTAGATAGTCAACACAATTCCAATCAAAATTCCAACAGATGTTTGGTCCACAAATTGATAATTATGTTCCACAGGCAAGAAACTAAAAACCACAATTCACTTCAGAAGAGAAAAACCAAGTAACAGGACTCATAATACCTGGTTTCCAGACTTATCATGAAGCTACAATAAGCAAAAGTGTTATTTAAGAAAGATAGAAATATACATCAGTATGGAGTGTGCAGAAGAGCATGGAGATACAAGAAATTGACCCACTCGTGCATCTTC